TGACCCAAGCCAGGCTGCTGGTGACCTTCTTGTCCACCTGGGCACATGCTGGCTCATCTTCAGCTGGATGTCAACCATCCTCTTGACATCTACATTATTTTCAATACTCTGTAGATAGAAATGAGAGATGAAAGGTGAGGTTCTGGATTGATTCAGGCATTCATCCCTCCTCCTTCAGGAATACTGAAGAACATAAGTGCTTTTCTTTTTAGACATAGCAGCACTGGAAAGGATTCCTTTCTAGCAAAGGTTCCCTGTCTTGAGGAACTGCAAACAGACTTTTATTTACCCAAGGACAAGGAGCAGTTCATGGTATGTTTGTGTTTGGTGGCTCTGGCAAGACAGGGACAAATCTCTTTGTTGTCTGAGTGAGACATAATAGTTGCTGGGGAGATGGTGTTTCTACAGAGCTTATAGGTTAGATTAGAGTTCACCATTGGTCCCAAACAGCTTTTCTTGCACAAGAAACCATTCTGGAGGAAGGAATATTTTATAATTCTTGAAGAGAAGTGTGGCTGTTGTGCAGTTCTGCCATGGTGGCCTTCCAAACTCAAGGAGAAGGAAGTGAAAACTCAGCCACAGCCTGGGGACCTTGGCATTGCTTTCCTCTGTCACAGGAAAAAAAAAAACTCCTTAGGCTAGTAAGTTTGAGGGATGAGGGACACGTGTCTTGCTCAGCAGGAGACTGTTGTGTCAGAGGTCACTTTTGGCATGATACACATTGATTCACTTCCTAGGAAAGGGAGCACTTGGCTGCTGGGCCCTTCTGCATCCAGGATGTTTGAACAGCAGGGAAGGAAGGACCTGGGTGTTTGGTGTGTTCCTCAACCAAGCTGAAGTAGAGCCCTTTTTCATCCTCCAGCAGGCTGAATGCCCACCACTGAGTGAGGAACCCTCAGAACAGTTGGGAGTGAAGTAGAATTAGTAGTGAAGCACCACATCATTACCAGCAAGGAGTCTGGAATCCAGTTCTTCTCTCATTCCTGCCTAGCCTGGTCCCACCAGGACTCTCACTGAAGAACAGGGTCTCGTGTTTGCTAATGCTTCTTTCCTGGAGGCAGGAATCTTGCTTGGTGCCTTCTCAGCAGGAGGAAGGAAGGTGGGACCATACCTCTGCAGGGGACTCAAGCTGAGCAAAGCCAAGAGTGGGCACAAAGCCTGTGAAGCTGAGCTTTATTTTCTCTTTTTCTATTCCCTGGCTAAACTCATGGTGAGAATGTTGCAAGTGAAGCTTTTTTTAGGGCTGTCACCTCAGAGGTGGATGTTCTGCACATCTTTCTGAGTCATTTGAAGGTGTCCTGCTGCTGCTGTGGAGTGGTTGTGTCTGTGTCATGGAAGTGGAGCTTACCTTCAACAATGAGAAGCTGTGCTCCTGTTCACCTGGAGCCTACAAAAACATAGCTTGGATTTGGAGCTGCTTTATCTCTAAAAGTCCATGAGATGGAGAAGGAAAAGGAACCAAGGGGTGAATTCTTCTAGCAGTGGAAACCACAAATATACTTTGTGGAGACTTGTCAAGATAAGCTGGTGATGAAACACTGAACTGATGGGGTTTTACTTTGCCTTCATTTATCTGAATCCTGATGTTCTATTTAGAGTTTGGCAAGTGAGTGGCTGGTTTTGTCTTTGCAGGGAAGGATTTCTTTAGCATTCTAGAGAGCTTGAGGACACTGCCACTTCACCCACACAGACTGCTGCAGGACAGCCAGAGGGCTTTCTTGGGCTGAGGGCTGAGTGACAGTGGTGAAGGAGTGGCTGGAGGTGCTAAACATTTCACTTTTCACAAGAGAAGAGGTGCCTTGATACTCAGCTGACAGCAGAGCTCAGACCTGGGTTGGAATATTGAGAATTAATACTAGTTAAGAGTGAGGAGTCAGTTTATAGGAAGCATTTGAAGTTTAAGTGGCTCTATTAGAATGAGAAACAAGCAGCAATAGGTGTTTCCAAAAAGCTGTAGCTGTTCTTCATCACTTTTGATTTTAATTTGCCTTTACTACCACTGTAACTGAAAAAAAAGGATGTTTTTTTTCTGAAGAAGAGTCACTGATGTGCAGTGCTGCAGTTGGGATGTCGTGTGGGTGGCAACATGGGTGCTAGCTACAGGACTGGCATCCACAGAAGACAAAAGGGGGTGCTCTGGTGTTTCACTTCCAGTGAATGTGACATTCAAGAGCCTCACCTTCAACACAGGCTTGTGGGTACCCAGCTACAACAAGGATTTCTTAGGAATGAGAACAACTACTTGTCTATTTTTAATTTGTCTCAGATTTTACAGGTACGATTTCCATGAGCTGGTTTAGGGGGTTTTCTTTTTGTTACTCTAATGAGCAATCTTGTTTCCTCTCTTTCAGCTCTTCTGGGAGAAGAGGCTACAAGGTCTCAGTGCATCAGATGTCAGTGAACAAATCATAAAATCCATGGAGCTACCTAAAGGTCTTCAAGGTATTGTGTTCACTTAGTGCACTTCCCTCAGATCCACAAAGCTGTTTGTACTTAAAAAGGGTGGAGTTTTTGCTGCTCTTAAAAACTGTTCAGTCTATAGTCAAATGAAGTAAACTTCAGATTGTAAATGTTCTTGCTGGCAAAATACCTCAGTCTCCAGAACTGTGTTTATTTTTAATTCATTAGTGTATAAATCACACTTCAGAACTGTGCCCTTATGGGTGAAAGATGGTGTAAGAGATGGTCAAGCCAGAGTTGAAAATGAGTAACTTGAAAATTACTAAATCAGTTCCATGGCTTGGGGGATTTTCTTGGGAATTGGAGTGTGGTGAAAATGCCCAGGGTTTAATTTCCAGCATTAATTTAAGGCTTTATAGTATTGCAGCAAAGCCTGTGCTGGATGTACGCAGGGAAGCTGCAAGGAAATGATTTCCATGTATGATGTGATCATCTCAATTCAAAAATCAATGCTGTTGGTATTGTCAGGGTAGGCAAAACGTGCAGCCAGCTTTAAAATTGAGGTGCCTTTTGCCACGCTCACAGTTCAACAAGAGCTGTGCTGTTAAAAACCACTTTTCAGCCTTGAGCTGAGCTGCTTGGATCCCCTGGCGCACGCACCAGGGGGGTGTAACCTCGG